TATGTAAACCATGTGATAAGTGATATGTGACCATATGAAATTATGAGACAAGTGATTAAGTGCTTAAGAGATATAAGCAATGAGATAGGTGATATGTGAAACAAATGAGAAATGATATAAGCTATATGAAATGATCTAGGTGATTACTTGTAATATGAAATGTTATAATGATAATGCTCATGTTATATGATATGAGAGCTAGGGGTATAGTTGGCATGCCAAGAGTTGAGGGTTTATCTATGTCTTTCGAGACATATGGACAATTTACCTAGGTTCTTTGGGACCTATGGACAGTTGACGAGGTTCTTTATGACCTCTGGATAGTTGTCGGGCTCTTTGTGACCTCTGGATAAGTCCTTCGGGACATTTATACGAGTTATGCTGACAGCGTAGTGATGCACAACCTCGATGTACTCACATACCTTAAGTTCTCAAAAGTATACATGGGCTAATAAAGCAATAATATAAATATATTGTGCGTGACATGTGTAGGAGTGATATGTTATGAAAAATGGATTATAAAGATTATGTGATGTTATGTGTGATTCTTGGTGATATGAATTGTATTATATGATTGATATGATGATGTGTATATGATTTGAAGGAGTCATATGTTGATAAAAAGATTAGGTATAAGAAGGTATGATTAAAGGATATAAATGATAATAATACGGATTATAGAATAAGATTAACGATGGAAATGATGAATAATGGGTATATGTGTACAGTTGATTATATGTGAAATTATATTGTTGTGTATGATAGCATGAGATGATATGTACATGCATGTTTGAGTAGTTAGAGTTACTTTTATACGTTAATGTCTCACTAAGTCATTGACTTAGCGTGTGATTGTTTCACACGTAGGTTACATAAGTGAGAAGAGTAAAGAGTAATGTGGAGCAAGACAGGTTAGTTTCCTTACCAAAGGTCAGATCAGAAGAAATGTGAATAATATGTATTTTAAAATATGAAGTTCTAGTTGGCATGTATTCAAAAGAATATATTGTATAAGCTCTGAATGGTTCTGTAAATGTATGAATAAGTTATATGTATAAAAATTTTAAATTACTCACTATTTTATACAAGTAAATGTTTTGAAAAGTCAATGTGACACCTCGGACTCGGATACGGGTTGGGGTGTTGCAATTTCCTTTAATGTTTGATTTTTCCGCTCTGCTACTCTATTCGATTGAGGAGAGTATAGTGGTGTTACTTTATGAATAATACCATGTTGTGCACAATATTGACCAAATGGTTCAACATATTCACCACCACGATCACTTCTCACCCTCTTAATCCTTTTGTTAAGTTGGGTTTCAACTTTCAGCTTATAGAGAATAAATTTTTCTATAGCTTCATCTTTGTTTTTAAGCAAATATACATAACAATATTTTGTGCTATCATCAATGAAGGTAATAAAATATTTATTCCCTCTTCTAGTTTGAACAAATTTTAAGTCACAAACATCACTGTGTATTGGATCAAGAGGTTATGTATTTCTTTTAACGAGTTTAAATGAAGACCTTGTTAGTTTAGATTCAACATATGTTTCACATATTTTATTATAATTAATGTGAAATGGGGGAATGTGTTCTAAGTTAATTAATCTACGTAAAGTTTCATAATTAACATGTCTGAGTCTACCATGCCATAAATTTAATGACTCAATCATATAAACAGAAGAAGAAGAATCATTCTTATTTATATTTTTAGCTTTTACAGAGATAGGATTGAGTTTCCACATATTGTTCAATACATATCCCCTTCCTACAAATATTCCACTTTTTGATAAAACTAACTTCTGGGATTCAAACACCATCCTAAAGCCATGTATACTTAGGAGAGTCCCAGAGACAAGGTTCTTTCGTATGTCAGGTACATACAATACATTTTGAAGTTTCAACTCTTTTCCAGAAGTCATCTTTAAAATTACAGTGCATTTCCCCTTGATCTTGGAAGTTGCAGCATTGCCCATATAGAGCTTTTCTCCTTTTTCACAAGAAACCAACTCTGCAAAGTAGTCCTTGTAACAATAAATATGGCGTGTAGAACCAGTATCAAGCCACCATTTTCTTGGATTTGAATCAACCAAGTTAACTTCAGAGACCACAACAATAGGTCAAGTTCAGATACTTCCTTGGAAATTTTTGTCACAACATTAGCTTCTTTTGTTCTGGACCTTTTTGGAAGCCTACATTCGGATGACATATGTCCCGTCTTATTGCAATTATAGCATTTCCCTTGGAATTTTTGCTTCTTAGAAACAACGCCTTTTGGTCCTAGTTTAGACTCAATTTGAGCTTGCTTTCTTTTCTTGAAGTCCTTTTTGACTTCCACCACATTTGCCTTGGCAATGTTATGATTAGCTATTTTGATTAACCTTTTAGCTACACATCGATTGTCTTCTTCAATCCGAAGTCTCACAATCAGATCTTTCATTGTCATTTCTTTTCTCTTATGCTTAAGATAATTCTTAAAGTCATTCCAAGCAGACGTAAGTTTTTCAATAATTGCCGCCACCTGAAAGGATTCACTTATAATCATCCCTTCTGCGAGAATACCATAAATGATAAGTTGGAATTCTTGCACCTGATTCACAACAGTTTTAGAATAAACCATTACAAAGTTTAAGAATTTGGCAACTAAGAATTTCTTGGCACCAACATATTCAGTTTTGTATTTATGGTCCAATGATTCCCATAGTTCCTTAGCCGTTTTCTTTACGCTGTATATTTCATAAAGTGCATCAGATAAACCATTCAAGATATAGTTACGTCATAGGAAATCAGAGTGCTTTCATGCTTCGGTAATGTTGAATGCGATTGCAACATCCACTTCATCCTCTCTAATAGTAGGAGGATCATCCTTCAAAACTTTGTCCAGATTCAATGTCATTAAATAAAACAAAATTTTCTGTTGCCATGTTTTGAAATTCTCTCCATTGAATTTCGCAGGCTTTTCATTATGACTCATAGTTATAGGTAACGTTTGGCTCGCAGCCTAAGTCTGTGTAGCGATAATCACATTAGATTGTGAATTGGATGAAGCATCAGACATTTTTCTGTAATCGGAATAAAAACTGAAATAATAAATATAATATGAAACGAAATATATATTAGCCTAAATATATTACCACGATAATCTGTTTGAGTTTAGATTGAACTACAACACAATGAATATGTCTTAAGATTGTTGCAAAATATTGAAAAATAGTGTTATAGTATTATAATCTAAAATTTCGTTTCAATAATAAAGTTAAAAAATGTGAAATTAAAATAAAACCTGTAATCGGATGGAATTGAATAAATAGAAGAAGAGTTTTGTTGAGGCCTGAACAAACAGTTTCCTTAAGACAAATTCGTCCTCTCCTCGGTGCTTTGAGTAACGTTGGACGTCAGTCTTCCAGGATACGACAATAAACGTTCACAACAGTAAGCACAACCGAAGTGAACAATCGAACACAATCTTTTTCTTTATCTATCACCGAAAAATGACTTTGAAAGAATCGGAGAATTGAAAGGAAAGTATTTGAAAGAAAATAGTAAAAAGTTGTGTGTTGAAATGTGTCACAACTTAACCTTTATATAGCGAGAGAAATTTGTATTGAAAGGTTAAGACTTTTAAATGAAATGACTTAACCATTTGATTAAAAAATACAACCTTTTGATCAAAAGGTTAATATGAAAATACATGAATTTTGGGGTGAAATGAAATAACTATTTTTCATAAAAAGACTTAATTTATTTTTCATGAATAGTTATAATCAATCCATTCATATTTGTTTCCAACACACAATACTCATATAGTGGCACAATTGATGATCTCGTAGAACTACTCAAAGAAATTATCAATCCGCTTGACTAGTGAGACAAAATCATGGCCTCTCTTAATAGAATAACACAAATGAAAAGATTAGTCTATGGACCTCTTGGGTGAACTCACATGTGTTAACACAAAATCTAGAGTGTTATAGTGGGTATAAGAACAAAACTCTAAATGGGAGGAATGTATAAAAGTTATACATGAATCGGATTGGAAACAACAACGAGAGTGTCAACGATAGTGATGGTTCTCGAAGTGAGCCATTAGGGCGACGACATCGAGACAAATGATTATGATAGTGATTGGATTTGATTTTTGATAGAAAATAGAGTTTTTGTTTTAGGTTTTTTTTTTTTTGGATGAAAATGGAAAGAAAAGGGGGAAATAAAGGATAAGGAAAATGATGACTTGTCTGGGTCATTCAACTTGACTCAGGTCTGATCCAATTACTCTTAGCTCGACCCATATGCTGATTCGAAATTTGAAAGACTAATGCAGGAAAAGAGAGTAGAATTCATCGTCAACTATTTTAGGCCTCTTATTGGTATTTTTTATAACTTTTATTGGTATTTAGACCCAGGTTTAAGGTCGTTTGGAAAAAATTGTCTTTTTATTTATTTATATATTTATTTATTATACATTATCTTTATGTATTATAATTATTATTACTAACATTTTTTTATGTTTCATTAGTTTTTCAAAGATAAGATAACATATATTTTAAAATTACATTTTAATTTTGTAATGTCGTAAATCCTTTATTCTTTTTTACGCATAATTGATTCTCAAATATAATTTAAACTAAGTATTTAAATTCATACCCCTCAAATTAATTCTTTTATATAAAAAATTACAGATGTTATATAATCTAAAATAATTGACGGCAAGTCTAAATTTTAAAATACACATACATTTATCAAGTAAAATATTTTTAAACTATTTTAACATAAATAATTCTATATTATCAAATACTTCCATTCTCGTATTGTCTTGGTCCAACCCGATCCCATATTTGAAAAATGAAAAAAATAAAATTAATAATAATAGAAAAAAAACTAACAATCGGTTGGTTGGTGGTATGAGATACTAGATCTCTTAAACAAAGTTAATGATTTCAATCTTGATATTTGCGAATCGATCAAATTATATTGGAAGGATCACATTCGTCTCTGTAATACATGATGGCTTTGCATCTTCCATGTTGTTTGGAACAGTGGTTGGATCTTTAGCTGACAAAAGGTAAGTAAGATGTTATGTTCTTTGAAACTTGTTGACAAGAACAAGTTTTTCTCGTTGGCCACCCTTCTAGTTTGGACAAAGAGCTGCAGCTGGCCGATGAGACAAACTTGTTCACGTTGACAAATCTACCAACTCTCTGTGCTTATTGCTTCATGAATTTAGGGGTCGAAAGAGGGCTTGTGTCACTTACTGCATGACTTACATATAGAGCTGCATTACTGAACATTCTCCTCAGTACAAGGTTTTAATACTAGGACGCGTGTTGGGTGGCATTGCAACTTCCCTTCTTTTCTCAACTTTCGAATCTTGGCTTGTTGCAGAACACAACAAGGTGTGTCATTGCTTCGACCTGCCATCTTTTTACCTATATGATCAAATTCTGAATCTTATTTCGAGTTCGGATTCGACAGAGGGGCTTTGATCAACAGTGGCTTTCTATAACATTCACAAAGGCAATATTTCTTGGAAATGGGTTGATGGCAATTTTATCTGGGTTGTTTTGTAATGTACTGGTGGATAGTTTGCAGCTAGGCCCGGTTGCTCCATTTGATGCTGCATATTGCTTACTTGCAATTGGCATGATAATTATATTGTCGACATGGACCGAAAATTATGGTGACCCTTCGGAAAGCAAGGACTTGGTTACTCAGTTCAAGGGCGCCGCTGCTGCCATTGCTTCTGGTGAATCCAGATTCTTTTATGCTATGACTTGGCTTAACTTGATCTGTTATTAAGGTTTTTGTTGGGTATTTGTTTCTGCTTTTTGTTCATCTTTTGTGTCTATAATAAAATCCATGTTTCATCAGATGAGAAAATTACTTTGTTGGGTGCCATACAATCCCTGTTTGAAGGTTCGATGTACACCTTTGTGTTCCTATGGACCCTGCTTTGAGCCCGAACGATGAGGACATTCTGCACGGTTTTATATTCGCGACATTCATGTTGTCTTCGATCCTCGGAAGTTTGGTTGCCATACGACTGCTGGCTCACCAGAGTCAAAGGCCCGAGAGCTATATGCAGACTGTATTCATGATCTCTTCAGTATCCCTACTGCTTCCTGTTGTCACAAATGTACATATTTTTACACGTTTCATTGTTTCCATTCTATTTCCATATTGTCTCCGTTCTCTCAACAGTCGTATGTCTCCAACAGTTGTCGGTAGCACCGTCGAACGAGAAAGGTGGGAGCATCTCGTATTCCGGGTGTATCCAACTCATCGGTTTTTGCATATTCGAAGCCTGCGTGGGGATATTCTGGCCATCTATCATGAAAATGAGGTCTCAATACATTCCAGAGAAAGCTAGAAGCACTATCATGAACTTCTTTCGCAACCCCCTCAACATCTTCGTCTGCATTGCATTATACAATGTAAGTCCATCATTCATCTTTTCTTTTAATTCAAGTTGCCTGTAGGTCACCAACTGGTTCATAGGTATTTAACACTGTTGCAAATGCAACTATTGCTTGTTTGAAAGGTAATGCACTTCCGATGACGTTCATGTTCGGCATGTGTTCGGTTTTCCTTTTCGTGGCATCGCTGTTGCAGAGGCAACTTAGTGTGATTGCAGAGATACACAAGTCAAGTAAGCTGTGCATATGCCTCTTCATTCTTCTTCTATATGCGTCACCTTAACTTTGGTTTGTAATAAATCTTACAACAGGATCACAAGAACGGATAAATAAGGTAGAGATGGATTCCGAGGCAGTTTCATTAAATGGTTAATTGATTTTAGAGGGAATAAACTTTTGTCGAGCTTGCAGCAAGAGGCAATTCTCTAGTTAAAAGAATGACAGAAACATAGTTTCTAGGTCATGTTTTTATTCAGGTAATATAACAATATATGGTTATACAGTTCAGAGTTTCCTCTTCAAGAGCACTTGACAGTTAAAATCAAATTCCATCTCAATACCAACATGTATACATATATAGTAATCTGTAATTTCCAACTCAACCGATTTATACATCTTCAAGATTTAAAGAGCAATAAACTCTACAGTGATTCATAGGAGTGCTAACTTTAACTCTTTGTTTTAAAAGGCGCAAGACACACTGAGGCGTAAATAGTCTCTGGAGCCTAGGTGCAAGGAGCAGAGTGAAGGCAAACGCCTTTCGTAAGCGAGACGTACCTTTTATACTAAAAGATATATCAATTCTAGATCATATCCAAACTTATTATCCACTGATTCACTCGTGAAGCACTTAATCTCTTCCTAACACTCTATTTCTTCACTATTGCTTATCCCTTCCTCAAGAGTCAAGACCTATTTCTACCATTCACAAGATCCATTGCTTGTCCCACGGGTTAATATGTTAGGAGATTGTTACAACCTTGATTTTTCTTGTTGGGTCAAACCAATAGTGTTGATTTGCCTAATCAAGACTATATAAAGCTAGTGTTGCTTAGTTTTACAGCAGCCAACACCCTCTTTTTGTCTATTAATATAGAGCTGGATTCATGTATTATAAAGTAAGAAAATGTGTGCAGTCTTCTCGCCTGGATCAACTCTTTAACTCCTGCTATTAATGTGGCTCTTGTATTTACACATCACTATTGGATTCATGCATTATACAGCAAGGAAATGTGTGCAGTCTTCTCGCCTGGAATAACGCCTTAACTCCTACCATTAATGTGGCTCGTGTATTCACATATCAATGTTGCTTAATCTGTTTATTATGCTTCATATTTAATTTTTTTTCTCTTTCCACTGTATTGTCTCCTTTTACTTTGTTTCTTTCGCTTTCTTTGATTTATAAACTCTTGATGATCTTCAGTAACCGACTAGTTTTTATCCTTTATCCCTAAGGCAGCATAAAAGTCTTCAAAACGTGTGATTGACAGGGCTTTCCGTTTTGCGCTACGTCTGTCTTTTCAAAAGTGTTTTGCTCTGTGTTCACCTGCGCCTTGCACCTTAGCAGCGGCGAAGCCACAGCTTGGTGAAGGTAGGCAGATGCATATCTAGAAATTTTATTTGTGTCCACTTTATTCAAAAAAAATTATTATTAATTTATATATGTTCACCCTAAAAAATATTTTTGAATTCACGACTGTATCTTAAACATGCTTTTAAAAATTAAGACTGAATTGAACAGTTGGAGCATAATAATCATTGTTATGGAACAATTGAACGATGTTTTTATAATAATGATTGAATGTTGTTCCATAATAATTAAACACTATCAATATTGAACCAGATCTCAACCAAAGTTGATTGATTAATTGTAATATCGAAAAACCATTTAATTCAGTAAAAGATAAAGAAAATACAACAACAACAACAACAACAAAACCCTATTCTCATATGCAATGGGGTAAGGGGGAGGTGGGGTGGTAGGCTACCCCCAACGCCAGGTTGAGAGCAGCTTCCGTGGAAGATCTCCGGCAGTAAGAAAATCAAAAATAAAGATAAAATATAATGCATATATAAATAAGTCAATAAATACATAGTTGAAATAGTTGAACAATTTTCATACGTTGTCTTCATATGCGCGTCTGTAATTTGAAGTAATCCCTGCAAATAAATCCCTGCGTGAAAATCTCTGCTTATAGACAGAAACGTAAGTCCCGGCTAAATTTAAAGGAGGAAACATGAAGAGAAGGATAAACAGAAGTCAGCGATAGCAATCTGCGATAAGGAATAAAGTTAAAATGGTTAAAACCTAAACTAAGGTAACACTACTCTGCCACCCTAATTATAAGCCTACATAAATTCCAATGACATAAACATATAAAAAGTAGAATTCATGGAAATTACTACAAAGGCATTAAAAAAGAAGACTGAGATGCCCACACTACTCAGCTACCCTGGTCTTAAGTCTCCATACTTTCCTATCGGAGGTCATGTCCTCGGTAAGGGCTAAATCCTTCAAATCAGATCTCAAGCAGTCTACCCACTTCCTCCTTGGTCGTCCTCTCCTTCTGGCACCGTCGACTGTTATCGACTCTACCCTCCTGACCGCATCCGACGGTTGTCGCCTAAGAACATGCCCAAACCACCGTAGTCTTCCCTCCCTCAATTTTTCGGATACAGGCACCACCCCCAAAGACATCCTAATTACAGAGTTTGGTGTCATGTCCCACAGAGTCCTACCACATGCCCATCGAAGCATTCTCATTTCTGCGGCCTCCATCCTCCTTAAGTGATCCTTCTTGATTGCCCAACATTCTGATCCATATAGCAGCGCTGGTCTTATTGCCATTCTATAAAAATTTCCCTTAAGTTTTAGAGGCATCTTCTTGTCACACAAAACTCCAGTTGCAGCCTTCCACTTTAGCCATCCCGCCTTTATACGGTGTGTAACGTCATCATCTACACCCCCATCTTTATGTATCATAGACCCTAGATACTTGAAACAATCCTTTTAGGGGAGAACGTGTCCTTCGATGCATACTTCTACATCTTCATCGTTTTGGTTTCCACTGAAGTTTGAACATAAATACTCTCTCTTTTCAATATTGATCCTTAGACCTTTTTCTTCCAAGGCAGTCTTCCAGGTAGCCAGTCTACCATTCAGCTCAGTTTTTGTTTCAGCAACTAGGACAATGTCGTCAGCGAAAAGCATACACCATGGAACTCCGTCTGGAGTCGCACAATAGACGTCATCCATAATCAAGGCGAAGATGTAAGGGCTAAGAGCCGACCCCTGATGGAGTCCGATTTCCACCGAGAAAGTCTCGGTGTCGCCAACTGTAGTCCTGACGTATGAAGAAGATCTACAGTACATATCACGAATCACCCGGATATAAGTAGTTGGGATCCGTCTCGTTTCCAAGGTCTTCCAGATCGTATCACGGGGAACGCTATCATACGCCTTCTCAAGATCAATGAACGCCATGTGAAGATCTCTATTTTTTTCCCTATATTTCTCCATAAGCCATCGAAGTAGATGAATCGCCTCCGTAGTAGACCTGCCTGGCATAAAGCCAAATTGGTTTTTCGAAACCCTAGTAATCAGTCTCAACCTAGCCTCTATCACCCTTTCCCATAGCTTGGTATCACCGTAGACTCTCTCCACTCCTCTGGCATCTTGGCAGTCTCTAAAATAATATTAAAGATGTTGGTCAACCACTTAACTTCATCTTCTCCTAGGGCCAACCACACAGTGATAGGAATTTGATCTGGACCGACAGTTTTGTCCCTACCCATCTTTCTAAGAGCCATTTTGAATTCCTCAATCCCAATCTTACTTGTAGGGCAGTCATTGGCCGTAGTATGATGGTCGGCTGATCCATCAATGATACTATCTCTTCAGGGAGAGGCATCGTCATTAAATAATTCGAAGAAGTAACTACCCCAAACCCTCTTAATATCATGATCTTTCACTGAAAGAACACCATTTTTGTCCTTAATAAACCTGATTCTACCTAGATCCTTTTTCCTATTCTCCCTGGATTTTGCAAGCATGAAGATGTCGTTTTGTCCTTCCTTGGTGTCTAATCTCTTGTACATTTCCTCGTATGCCTTATCATTTGCTTTAGCCACTGTTTTCTTGGCTTCTCGCTTTGCCTCATTGTATCTATGTTTAGCTCTCGATCTTTCTTCGTCGTCATTGCATTGTAGAAACTTCTTGAAGCAAGTTGTTTTGTCTTCACCCATAGTTTGGACTTCTTCATTCCACCACCGATTCTTTATGTTCCTTGACCTTCCCTGTCGACAACCCAAGGGTGTTTTTTCCCACCTCTCTGATGGAATTTGCCATATTTTTCCATAACATATCTGCATAATTTGAGTTTGTAGTTCTAAAACCTGTATGAGACAAAACCTTACTCCTAAAGTCATCAGATGTCGCTCCATGTAAGTTCTTCCAAAGGATCCTAGGTTTACCTAGTTTAGCTCTCCTATGAGATGACTATCCAGCTCAGTTGGTAGAGCACAAGGTTCTTAACCTTGAGGTCGTGGGATCGAGTCCCACGGAGGGCATTTCATAATTCGGAGGTCTTCTACGGAAGCTTCTCTTAACCTGGTGTTGGGGACAGCCTACTATCTTACCTCATTACATATGGGAACAAGGGACAGCCAAAAGATAAGAAAATAAAAAAAATCAAATTCAATTAAATCGATTAATCATAATGAATATAAAAAATTCAGGGTGTTATATATTATGTTTAGATTTTTATTTGCACAATCTTTTATTTCGATTAATTTGGGGTGATTACAAGATAGTATATGTTCGAAATATTCTTGGTTATTTAATAATAAACACTCAAACAGACGTCATATTCAAACCCGAAACCTCTCATGAGAACAACCAATCCACCAAAGTTCCTTTCTTCTTTCAACCTTAATTGAGTTAACAGCCTTCAACCTTAATACATTGTGCTGTTGGACAGCTAGCCATTGGGCATCCATCGAGATCATTCCCCCACC